TCGAGACGAAGAGGGGGTCAGCTCCAGTATCTGGTGGACTGGGAAGGCTATGGACCTGAGGAGAGGTCATGGATAGCCGCCCGAGACATTCTGGATCCATCACTCATCAAGGAGTTTCATCGAGCCAGGCCCGATCGCCCAGCACCGAGACCACGGGGACGTCCACGTCGAGCTCCAGGAGTCGCTCCTAGAGTGGGGGGTTCTGTAACGCCAAGCCAGCAGAGGGAGCCCTCACCAGAGTACTGACCGTGCTCCACTCCCTCTGCTTTCTCTGCTTTCACTTCCTGTTTGACTTTCATATAAACTGAGACCAGTCCATGTGCTGATTGCGAAGTATTGCCAGTTTACCTGCCTTACCAAGCGTTATTCTTCCTCTGTTCCTGATTGGTTTCCTGTGTAAGATTCTGCCTGACTTCTTGACTCACGGTATTTGTACTCTGCCCCTTTTGTTCTGACGCCTGATAGGACTGATGTTTGTGTTTGGACTCATTGCCTGCCTCTCCACTATTGTCTCTGCTTCTGCCCTTGTGTACGACAAACGATCTGCTTGCTTCTCTGACTTTGACCCTCTGCCTGATTATCGACATCTGTTTAAAGCCTTGACCTTTAATAAACTTCCGCTCATGGATTCTAACCAAACTCCAGCGTCTCTGTTACAAATATAAGGTGTTTTTCACTTCCAGTCCTTGTTAATTATATACTTATAAAATATATGATTGTAAACTCAATTAATATTAGTTATTAAGATTGATGTGGTTTGGAATTGGTAAAAAGTGCTTGGGCTTTTTGATTTTCCTGTAATAGAGTAATTTTGTCCTGCTTTGTGTGTAACAAAGATAATGTTCATTCTTAAATCATATCTGTTTACTGCTCATAGGTGTGAAATATAAAACTGATATAACAGAGAAGAAAAGCAAGGGGAAAGGTGCCACCTAATTTATGATTAAAAAAATACACAACTAATTGCATATTACACATATGTTCTGTATGTATTTGTTTCATTTAGTATTACAAACCAAGGAAGGCAACTGTAAGCCTTACACATATGAGTCACAGTGAGGCATACAGTTTATTATCATGCTCCACTGTGGAAATTAATGCACGTGACATCAGTGTCACACACTTCCCTGACTTGAGATGATAAATTGTTTGTGCCCAAATGACACACAGACTACAGCATTGCTAGAGGACTATGACTATGTCATGACAGGTATATTGTTCAGGATGCTGAGTGTGAAGTTATTTGAGCGTTTCTCCAGAAAGCTGCAAGCCAATTGGTCCTAACAATCAGTATGTTTTGAACAGCACTAGTTGTAACATTATCAGGCACTCAGTAGTATCAATACTCAATTATACATGGTAGCATTCAAATAGCTTGAATAACTCAAACTCCACTGAACACTAACAAAAAAAAAAACACCACAAAAAAAAAAAAAGGGACTCAGCCTACTATTTGATAGTTCCGGCTCTCAGGTGGAACCCAAAATTTAAACAGATTGTTATATAGTGTTGCTGGACAATTTCTCAATTCATTTACTCACGGAGCATACAGTTAACAGAAATAAAAGCATATTCTGGTGAAGATTTTATATGTAAAAAAAAACATACCAAACAATATAAAGTAATACATGTCTGTCTCCTCAGCGCCCCAGGATGCGCCTGAGAGCGCTCTGCCTGCTTATTCAAGGGGATTGGCCTGGCCAAAAGTTTGGACACATTACTATTTTTAATGGTTTTGAAATAAGTCTCTTATGCTCATCAAGCCTGCATTTATAAAAATGTAATTTTGTGAAATATTAAAATTTAAAATAATGGTTTTCTATTTTAATATTATTTCAAATATAATGTATTCTTGTGATGGCAAAGTCGAATAAATAAATGCTTCTAAAATAAAATCTTTTTAGCTTTTTATTCATCAATGCATGCTGAAAAAAGTATCACAGGTTTCAAAAAAATATTAAGCAGAACAACTGTTTCCAACATTGATAATAACTGAGTATCAAATCAGCATATTAGAATGATTCTAGGGAATGTCAAGATCATGTGACACTGAAGACTGGAGTAATGACTGCTGTAAATTCTAACAATGTTCACAACCGTTCAAAAGTTTGGGGTCAGTATTTTTATTTTTTGAAAGAAATTAATGTTTTTATTCAGCAAGGATGTGTTAAATTGATCAAAAGTGATATTAAAGACTTGTATTGTTAGAAAAGATTTCTATTTTAAATAAATGCTGTTCTTTTTAACTTTTATTCATTAAAGAATCCTGAAAAAGTATCGCAGGTTCCAAAAATAAAAAATCAAGCTGTTTCTAACATTGATAATAAATCAGCATTGAATGCGTTCTGAAGGATCATGTGACACTAAACTGGAGTAATGATGCTGATGAAAATTCAGATTTGATCACAGAAATAAATTATATTTTAAAGTATATTAAAATAGAAAACCAGTATTTTAAATGGTAATAATATTTTACAATATTACTATTTTTTCTGTATTTTTGGTCAAATAAATGCAGCCATGATGAAAAATCTTAATGATCCCAAACTTTTGAACAGCATATATATATATATATATATATATATATATATTAGTGCTGTCAAATGATTAATCGCCATTAATCGCATACAAAATAAAAGTTTTTGTTTGCGTAATATATGTGTGCGTTCTGTATATATTTATTATGTATACATCAATACACACACATACAGTATATATTTTGAAAATATTTGCATGTCTATATTTATATTCATATAATTTATATTATAAATAAATATATTTAATATATAAACATAACCTATT